ATATATAGATAGATAATAAATATATAGATAGATATATACAAATAGACTGATATATATATATATATATATATATATATATATATATATATATATATAGATAGATAGATAGATAGATAGATAGAAAGGAATTAAACTAAATAATCCCAGAACAAACATAAAATAATTAGAATAAAAGCAGAAAACTATCTCATATATATATATATATATATATATATATATATATATATATATATATATATTTATTCAAACTAGATCGGGGCACCTTGAAGTGGTGTAATAGTTAGCAAGCTTGTCTCGCTAAAATAGTTATGAATGAGTAGTGAGTTTGATCCTCACTGGGTGTCCCTTACTTTCGGCCTTGTGCCACATCCAAGCTATGCTTGGAAAATCACTATTCAAACTAAATTGAAGATATATTAAATGATGCAAGATTTTAATTCCAATAATTAAATAATCTTTTATTTCTTTCTTTGGTGCAACAGCATTCTTTCATTTTTACAATTGTCTTTGCTGTAAATTTTCATCTTCTATTATTAACCACTTCCCTAAAAATTACTATGTTGAATGCTTTTATGTTTCACACTTGCTGTCATTTATTTGTCAAGACAGAATGTTATGCCACAATTATGTTTCTGTTTTGTTCTGGGAAATCCAGAATATTTTCCAATCATTTTCACTGTGAGAAACCATTATCATTACATGTTCGAAATTGAAAATCAAAAAAGCAATATAATTACAGGTAAAAGAGAAGAAACAATTTGTTATTTTTGAAAAATCACAATGAAAGAAAAAAAAATCAAATAAAAACATTTGCAAGAAAAACGTTTACAAAAAATTGGTAAATAAAAATATTGAATGAAATTTCAAAAAGAATAATTTTTATTTTTTTTATAAATTTCAAATTAGTGCTGCTAATGAAAAAAAATGCAAAAAGCCATATTGTAATGATATATAAAGTTATAAATTAATTAAATTAGAACCTAATTATAATTTTGAAAATATAAAAAATACATAATGTTTGCTCATCTATCAATAGTGGCAATGAATATATAGGCCATTTTTGCTGTCATTGCTGACACAGGTCAAATAATAATAGAGGAATGCATTTTCATGCCTTCACTTTACTATGTTTTCCTATACTATTACCATGTGATTGTGCTAAGTTAATGGCTTACCTAGTCTTGATACAGCTTTGTTAATTTTCTGACAACACTAAGGAGAAAGAATATCCAGTCCAAAAAATTGGGATAAAAAACAACAAAAATGAAGATAGTAATCTGAAAAATAAGTGGAATAATTAAAATACTAAACTCACACTTCAGATAACATGAAGGTAAACAAGGAATATGAAATATATTGGTCAAAACAATGTGCTAAAAACAAAATCAGGATACTAAAGAGTCTGAAAAATGAATGGAACATTGAAAACATTTCAACACAAAATTTCAGGAAACAGTAAACAAAAAATAAATGTTATATATTGAGAGAAGGATGACCTGATATTTCAAAGACGAATCTAATGTTGTAGAAATTAGAAGATGTGGAAGGAAAAACCAAAATCGGATCAGATCAGATCAATTGAAATGAAATCAATCAAACCCTAAATAGTTTTGATGTATTGAGCAATAACAAAAGAAAATGAAAAGGCAAGAAACTATTTTTAAAGAACATGAAAGAGAAAGAAAGAACAAATAAAGGTAGAGAAAGAAAGATAGAAAGAAAGAGAAAAATAAAATAAGATAAAAAGAGAAAAAAGTAGAAAGATATAAAGAAAAAGAAAGTGAAAGAAGAAGAGTGATATAAAATGAAAGAGAATGAGAAAGTAAGATAAGAGAACTCAAGAAAAATGAAAATAAATGAAGGTAATAAAAAAAGAAAGAGAGAGAAAGTGAAAATGAAAGTGAAAGCAATAGAAAAAAAAAACAAGAGAAATAGTGGAAGAAAAGCTTGAGTATACCAAATTAAAATTGTCTCTTCAGTGACAGATGTAAAGGTTTCAGAAAAAAGAAAGAAAGAAGACTCTAAAAGAAAAGAGGAAGGAAATAAATGGAAAGGAAAAAGAAAAGAAAGAAGTGGAGTATGAAGAAAGAAGTAGCATGGTGGATTAATGGATAGTGACTCAGATTGCGGAATTGGAGAGCCGAGTTCGAATTCCAGCCAAATCCATTACATTCACTTATGAGCTAATACCTTTGGGAAAGCTATGAATCTTCTTCTTCTCCCACCACCTATGAGTAAATAGCAGAACAGACCAAGTTCTATAGCGTTGGATGGCAACTGGTCTAGGACAACTCTGAATTCAAAACCTGACCCTCCAGATTGGGGGCTAGTGCAGTAGGATAACGACCTATTCACTTAAAAAAAAAAAAAAACTGGCTTGTTATAGAAACCGTAATGATATCTTACGGCCCTATGTCCCCCAAGGAATTTCAAAGCATATTATATATGAAGAGAGAAGCAAGCGAGAGAAAAACTGCGAAAGAAACTGTGGCATAGAGTGAAAAATGAAAAAAAGAGAAAAAGATGAAATGAAAGCATGGTATTGAACAGAGAGAGGGAAAGAGTGAAAGAAAGCAAAGGTAAAGGAGAAAAGCAGCATTGAGAGAGAGAGAGAGAGAGAGAGAGAGAGAAAAGAGAAAATGGGCAGCTAAGATAATAAGAGAGGCAATAAAGTAGAAGCAAAATACTAACAAGTGAGAGAAAATGAGAGAGGAACACAAGAAGAATGAGCCAAAGATGAGGGGAAAGGAAAAAAGAGATATGAAAGAAGTTAAATAAACAGAAAGAGTGAAAGAATAGTACAGGAAGTGGGAGGAAGAGAGGAAAATGATGGATTAAGGGAGTAGGAGAATGTGTGAGATATTGTAAGAGAAAGAAAGAGAAGAATAGATAAGAGAGTGAGAGAGAGATAGAAGGAGGACAAGATAATGAGGGAATAAGGGTGCTGATGGAAAAGAGTAAAGGAAAAAGGAAAGGAGAAAGTTGATGGAGTGAAAGAAAAAGGGAAGAAGAATGGCTGATAATGAGAGAGAGAGAGAGAAAGAAAAGAGAAATGACAAATGTTATAAAAGAAATATGATGTCTTTTCATAGATTAGAAATTGCCACATAACGAAGAAAAAATGTAGAAAATAAAAAAAAATCTCTTTTATTGAACATCTGTCAGAATTTATTGCCTCTTTTATATTTATTGTCAAAAATAGTTTCTCCTGAAGTTAAGACAAATACAACATAATATCAAAAAGAATATGTAATGGTAAAGAATGAAATAATAATAATAATAATAATAATAATAATAATAATGATACATTCATTTCTTTCTTGTTTTTTAGAACAGTTGTAAAAGCAAATAACCAAAAGTTAAGAGGTTTAAAATATTACAAGTATTATTAATAATGTTTATGCAGAGGGCATCTGAACAGAGAAACAAAATCCATTCATTCTAGAAATATGCATTAAGACAAAGTATAAAAAGCAAAGATTGACAAAACTCAGAAAAAAGTAGATGCTGCTTTTGTATAAGAATAAGATAGCAAACGATATAATCAGTGAACGAATTAATATTGGCCAAAATAAGTACAAAAATTAGACATGATATATTAGCAATAGTTATACATGGAGAACTGTAAACAAATGGTATTGGCACAAATCAGAAACTGTCCTGGGAAAATTTATAGATACAGGAAAAAATGAACATCTTAAAGAATATTTTTCTATCCAATTAAAAAAATGAATACCTTAAAGAATGCTTTTCTATCCAATTAAGAAAATGAACATCTTAAAGAATACTTTTCTATCCAATTAAAAAAGTGAACATCTTAAGGAATACTTTTCTATCCAATTAAAAAAATGAACATCTTAAGGAACGCTTTTCTATACAATTAAAAAAATGAACATCTTAAAGAGTACTTTTCTATCCAATTTAAAAAAATGAACATCTTAACGAACACTTTCCTATACAATTAAAAAAATGAATACCTTAAAGAATACTTTTCTATCCAATTAAAAAAATGAACATCTTAAAGAATACTTTTCTATCCAATTAAAAAAATGAACATCTTAAAGAATACTTTTCTATCCAATTAAAAAAATGAACATCTTAAAGAATACTTTTCTATCCAATTAAAAAAGTGAACATCTTAAGGAATACTTTTCTATCCAATTAAAAAAATGAACATCTTAAAGAATACTTTTCTATCCAATTAAAAAAATGAACATCTTAAAGAATACTTTTCTATCCAATTAAAAAAATGAACATCTTTACGAACACTTTTCTATCCTATTAAAAAAATGAACATTTTAAAGAATACTGTTTTATCCAATTAAAAAAATGAACATCTTAAAGAATACTTTTCTATCCAATTAAAATGCTCCCATGCAGATTAAAAATGTATTTTTTAGATTTTTCCCAATGATAGTAGCAAGGTATTCATATACCTGGATTTATAGAAAGTTGGAAAGAAGACTGAATTCTACTGACTCTAAAAATAAATACGATAATTTACACATAGTTACACTAAGATATCATCAATTTGAACAAGTTCTTTATCAGTTCATAAACTTCAATTAATGATTTTGTACAAACATTTAACAACTTTAAATGGTGAAAATATCTTTTCTTTCCAAAATTGCGTTACCATTAATTTGCTAAAATAATGATTTTGTAAATTTGTTTTTTTTTTCTTTTTATTATATTTTATAATTTCTTTGAATCTATAACATTTCTTTCATTTCATTGTCTATTACACATTCACATATTCTATCAAATTGTTGTTATACATTTCATTACACTTTGTATCATTATTTACTTTGACTTATATGAGGCTATAAATATTTACAGGACAGATAATTTAGCTGTCTTAAAGATGATCAATTATCTCCCAACAAATAATAATAATAATAATAATAATAATAATAATTGTTTGACTTAGTGGCTTAATAATTAATTGCTTGTTTGACTTGGTGGTTGGAGCAGAGGACTAGAGTCTTTAGAAGTCGTGATTAAGAGAATAAATAAAAGAATTGACAAAGAGAAAAAGAGAATGTAAAAGAAAAGGAAAGGGGAGAAAAAAATGAAGAAAAAATAATCACACGGAAAAGAAAGATCTGAAAGAGAAGAAAAAAAAAGACATTGTTTGGTATCAAAAATATCAGCCATTTTTATTTTCAGCCTCTATTTTTGAAGAGTGACATCTAAAAATGAGATTTTCAAAAATATATTTTCCTTTGTTATTAAAAATATAGCGATTGCATAAAAATTTTCTTTATGGTATATTTTTAAAGGTCTATTTTTTTCTCGTTTCCTGCAAAATAACAAACAAGATGTTCAAAACATTTTTAACCACAGATGTGGCTTCTAATTCTTTATAACTTTGATTCTTATTAGTGGAACTTTAAGTCATTCTTTTTATTCATGATAATCTAAGCTTGCCAAAATATTGTGGATTTTACAAGAATACATATGAATTATCAATAATGGGAAAAGATTATTATATAGTAATTTGATCAAAATACTGTCCTTAATTTCATTTTCATAGTCTCAGTGCATGGCTGGACGTTTGGCCAACAGACATTTGGCCAATGGACATTTGGCCCAACAGACATTTGGCCAATGGACTTTTCACCAAAAAAGAACAAGTAAAAATATTAACAAGCAATACTTTAAGTATTTTAATTAGCAGTATTATAATGTAAAATAGACTAATAATTACCACTGAATTTCAAGTGATTAAATTACTAAATCTAAATGTGCTTTTTCTCAAAATACTTATCATCTTACAGTAATATTTGAAGCAAAATATAATACATACAGAATAGATTTTTAAAAACGCCTGTAAAAAAAAAAAGAAAAATTATAAATTAACAGTAAGATAAAAGCTAGTTCGTCCCTTTATAAGGATCATTAAAAGTGAAATTAAAAAATCTTTCATATCATAAAAGCTTAAGATTTTGTGCTTTTTCTTAAAATACTTATCATCTTAGTAATATTCAAAATATATAGAGAATAGATTTTAAAAAATCCTGTCAAAAAAACAAAAAATTATAAATTAATACAGTAAATAAACATAAATATATGTAGCATATTACAATAAAGAGTATGACATACATATTAGTACACCACTACACTTTTGACTAAATGTCCATTTGGTTAAATGTCCATTGGCTGAATGTCCGTTTGGCAAAATATCCCTCGGCTGAATGTCCGTTCAGCAAAATATCCCTCAGCCGAATGTCCGTCAGCCAAATGTCCATCGGCCAAATGTCTGTCGGACAAATGTTTGAGTACTGTCTCAGTGTTTCAGCCATTGTATTTCCCAATTATCTCTCATATTCCTTAATATTTTGGAATATATTTATTCAATTCAAGACTGTCTTCATGCTGCATGGTATCGCTCATTAGTGAATTATTACAAGTTAATCTGTCCTTGAGAAATGCTTTTCCCACTTAATGAGAGTATATGTCTTTTACTGACTGATCACGGATTGAACTCAAAGCCAGCAAATAATTAGATACACTTAACCAAGACTTTTATTAATTAGTACAGTTGGATAATTGAGTTTTTTAGTCTTAAGCTTAGTGTCTCTTTGTGTCTTAATAAAAGACACTAACAATTAAGCTGAGGCACTCATTTAACAGATTAATGTACAGTGTGAGCATAAAATCAATAACACTGGGACCAAAAAACTTTTATCCATTACCCCTGTGGTAATAAAATAAGTACATCCCATCTCCCCTAAAAAACAAAAGGTTTTCAATACTAAAGCTGAATTAGTGAAATAAAGCTTCTAATTAGTTGTTGTTATATTAAAATCCCCAAAAATGTTGCTGTGCTAAACTCACTTCAAAATCAAAAGAGCCTATTAGATATTTCTAAGGATATCAGAAAAAAAGTATCATATAATTATTCAGTTATTTTCTGTATCTGTCTATATTTCTGAGATGAGGTATTATGTAAATTATTCAGACTATTGTCCTCATCTTTGTCGCCATATTTATTACAACATTTCGGCCTTTCAGTATCTGTCTATATTTCTGAGATGAGGTATTATGTACATTATTTATATTATTCGGAATCAGAGAGCCGAGTTCAAATTCCAGGCAAATCCATTACATTCACTTACGTGCTAATACCCTTGGTAAAGGTATAAATCCTCTTCTTCTCCCCCAGCTATGGGTAAATAACAGGACAGACCCGGTTGGATGGCAACTGGTTTACTGTGGAAAGAAATGGCAACCTACTGTGGGGAAAAAATATCTACCTTGTCAGTCATGTATCGAAAGATACATGATCGCCTAAGTATGTATCACGCATGGCACATAACTGACTGACTAATAATCTCCTTCTTTCTCCATGCACTTAATCCAGTGGTGAATATTTATATCATAGAATGAACATTATACAATGAAAATTTTAGATCCATTCTGTATCGCATCACACTGTAAATTTCCCAAATTTACATGTTTATACCTCAATTTTTCCATCCTCCCCTTTTTTTGGCAAAAGAAAGCAAGTATTATATTCACCAGAAATAGAAAATTCTCATAAAGAAATTTCCCATCTATAAAATAAGAATTTTCCTATTCTTTGTTTTATATTTGAAAATTTTTAGTCTTATAGAATAGTCAAGTTACCCGTAAAGGGGATTTTGTATTTAAAAAAAATCTTTTTAAAGAGAATTTTGATGTGATCTATTTGAAGGGACATTCTGAAATTAGATTTGAAAAAGTTTTGTAAAAAATACAGATTAATATGGATGGAAATAAAGAATTTGTCTGATAGTTGAAGATTAAGGTAAATCACAGAAAGAATATTACCACATATACAGATACACATCAGGATATACATACACACTTATATCCATTGTGTACTCATACACTCACATTTATATAGATGCACATACATGTACATACATATGCATATTTCTTCACTTACATATGTATAGATAGAACTATATTTATTAAAATACCAATTCCAAGTTTTTTATGGCTGCATAATTTTATTGAATCAGGAATTTATTAGATGGTCAGTATTAAGTCATTTTATAATTCAGAGTAAATCTCTTTTTATGAATTTGTTGTTAATTTTTTTATTAGTTTTTCTATCTTTATTTTGGTATGGAACATGAGTTCAAGTCTTGTCAGAAGTTATATCTTTATTTCTTATTTTCAAAGTTGATTTTAATAGTCACTTATTTTCATGTAAAAACTATCAGCCATACCCAGCAGGTCGATCAGAAAAAGTGTTCAATTAGAATGGAGCAAAAACAGCATCATGTTTAGATGTAACAGAGTCTGTCTTCTTCAATTACTTTAAAGTACTTTCATTAAAAAAAACATTTTGAATTAATGCACTGATATAACAGAAGTAGTCTGTATTTATTCAATTGAAGTTAGCCGAAGACATGAAGGAGTAAAACAGGCAACATGAAGACCCACTACAGACCAGAAAAAAGAAAGAAACCCGTAAAAATTGCCATTTTTCGCTATTTACATGGGTTTTCACTCAATTATCAAGTTAAATGGCTGTTAAGCAATCAACTTATTGGCTACAATTGAGTGAAGTTTGTATTAGATTGCTTGATAATTGAGGGAGTTTTTAGTTTAAAATTTGTGTTGAAATTGATTTGTGTTGAAATCAATTTTTCATTTTTCACAGTTTTTTGCTAAATGCAGTGGTGTATAAATAAAAATGAGGTATCATTGAACTCATCATGATGTAAGTAAGTAACCTACATACCAAGTTTGAATGAAATTGGAAGAAAAAGTTGAATTTACTGATTTTTGATCAGCTGTATTGATTATTGATTTTTTAAAAATTATTGATTTTTTATGCTAAGAACTTATCTCTTAGATTGTAAAATGTATGTGCCAAGTTTGGCTGAAATCTGTTGGATGGATCTCGAGTGAAAAGGTATCACACAGACAGATAGACAGAAACACAGACATCCTCTGTTTTATATATATAGAGATTGATTTTTTTTACAAATTATCGATTTTTAAGCTAAGAACCTATCTCTTACATTGTACAATGTATGTACCAAGTTTGGTTAAACTTGGTTGAGTGGATCTCGAGTGCAAAGGTATTACACAGACAAACAGACAGACATCCTCTGTTTTATATATATAGATCAAAAAGATGTTCATTGTTTGAAACAAGGGCAAGTAATATCATGACTGGACAAAAATTTAACTCCACTGAAAGAATGAAGGTTAACAGACAGATAAACAGACACACAGAAATCCTCTGTTTTTTATATATATATATATATATATATATATATATATATATATATATATATATAGATTAGCAAAAAATAAAGAAGAAAGAAAAACAAGTTAGAATTTAATAATGAAAAAAAGAATTGTGTATAAATATTGTTTTTCTTCTGAGGCAAAAGACGATCAAACTGTTTGGAAAAATTCTCAGTTGATAAAATTTTGATGGCAATATAAAAAGACAGAAATTGAAAATGTGATGCAAAATAATTTTACAGCTACAGGCTGATAAACTTTTCATAAATGAATCCTGCTTAAGGCCAAATGCATAAACTGTAGACATCACAAGAGGAAATGAAACTCACTTTTAACCAATGCAGTAAAGCAATCTTATAAAAAACACAACTAACTTCTTCAAGAAAAAGATAAATAAAGTTATTACAGCTAATAATGCTAAAATTGGATCCATAAAACTCCACATAATTGTGAGTAAGTATTACCCTAGCTATATTTATAAATGTGCATCTCATTATTTCACAAATTGTTACTCTTATATATGAGAACTACAAACAAATAATTTTCTTTTAAGCATATTATCCTACATATCTTCATAATATGCACCCCTAGTTCCCTTCCTGTATACCCTTAAACCATCCTCATTTTAAAACCCTCTACTTTAAGTGGCTCTTGGGCCTTGTAGGGGATGAAATATTCTGGTCTTCTGAAGATTGTGAAGAGTGGGAAACTTAAGTGGTGGTTCAAGCTGTATCTCATTGAGGGTTGACACTGTGAAGCATTTTCTGCTCAGTTTGGATAGGTTAGGCATCGAGAACTGTTATTTATTACTTAGGTAGCCATTTGCCTTTTGATCTTTTCTTACTTCTTAATT